GGAAGAGGGGACTCATGTGATATTCATGGCGAGCATCACTCGGCAAAGGTCCAGAACCCTGCCCTCCACATCCTGCCTCTGTGGGAGGACCCAGATCTGTCCTGTGTCACGCTGCCCCTGAAACAGCGTGGCTCGTAGGTGGGCATTTGCTGCAGGTCCAGCACTCTGTCAGATGATGGAGGTTCTATTTTCCCTCCTCCCTGGTCAGGGGATGAAACACCTATCTCCTGCCCAAACATGTGTCCACTGGCCCCGCCCAGCACAGCTGTTTGCCCAACCATCACCAGACCAGGTCCCCACCGCAAGGACAGGAAGTGCTCCCCCATCCACCTCCACCACCAGCCTGGTGACTTGTGGTCGCTGAGTACAGTAGTCAGATAATTTTTAAAAAGACTCACAGACATGTAATTAAAATCTCAGTGTTGGTTTTGGGGGAAGGCTCTGGGAGGCTTCTGCCCCTGCTTTGCGGAAATACAGATTTTTAGTGTTTGAAAGTGACAGGAGGCTAAAGTGAGACACTCTAAATATACTGTCCTGGGCATTTCCGGGCAGCTGGGGAATCATGGGGTTTATTCTGCTCCTGTGGTCTCTTGCCCAGACTGTTAGAGCAGCCCAGCCACTGGCCTGCCTCGGGTCCCCTCCAGCCTGGGCTTTACCCTCGCCTCCACACATAGCTTCCGCTCTACCCTTAAACCACACTCCCTTGCTGCCCAGAGCCCTGACCCCCCACTGGCCAGAGCACAGCCCACGCTCCAAGGCCAGAATTCCAGCTCTCCGCAGTCAAGCCACAGCCAGACTTATGCCCTGAGCCGCACATTGCGGCATGGTGGGCGGCCCCAGCACCTCACACCTGTGCAGGGCCTCTGCCTAGAATGTCTTCTCCCCCACCTTATCCACCTACCAAGACTCAGTCCCATCCTTCAAGGCCAGTTCAGGTGTCACCTCCTCCGGGAAGCCTGCTCAGATCATGCCATGGGACCCTCCAGCTTCCCCAGCACTTGACCCAGCATATCCAGGAGCTGTCATCCTACCTCGCCTCTTCCTGGTTCTTTCCGTGTCTCCCTCCAGTCATGGGACCCTCCAGCTTCCCCAGCACTTGACCCAGCATATCCAGGAGCTGTCATCCTACCTCGCCTCTTCCTGGTTCTTTCCGTGTCTCCCTCCAGTCCCCCTTCCTGCTTCCCCTTGTTCCAAAGAGGGTCCTGCCGTCCTTTCACCCTTTGCTGGGTTTTATGGCTGTTGTTATCCCTGCCGGTGCTGTCGTTCCTGGGCTCTAGGCCTTTGCTCAGGCTGGACCCTGCCTCTGCAGCGTCCTTCTGCCTTGACATCGTGGCAAATTCACTCTCACCCCTCAAGGCCCAGCTCCAAAGCCCTCTCTCCCCTCAACTCCCATCCACATACCGGCTGACTCTGGGAGCCCCATCCTGCCCAAGTGCACTCAGCTGTGTCCCTGCTGCCACCGTGGCCCTTTTCTGCCTTGGGTCTGATGTCCATCTCCCCAGAGGAGGGACCTGTCCTGTGCCCCATCTGTGGGTCCCAGAGCCAGCAGGGTGCTGAGTGGGGCAGGCTGGGTTTGGGGCTTGCGGACAAGACATGGACACTGCCCTTGTGGCACCGCCGTGTGCCAGGTGCTGTGTCAGGTGCCTCACAACACAGCTCCCGGAGCCTTCTCGGCACCCAGGAGGCAGAGCTGGGACAAGCCTGTTCTCGAGGAGGGAGCAGTCCCACCCAGACTGCCCAGGCCCCCAGATCCCACCCGGCCCTGCCCACCCCGGAGCCCAAGCTGGAACCACAAGTGACCACCAGTCCCACTTTGTCTTGCAGTGGAGCAGGACCGCACCCTGGGCCGCCAGGAGCCCCAGTGGAAGGAGTTCCGCTTTGACCTCACCCAGATCCCGGTGGGGGAGGCCGTCACGGCCGCGGAGTTCCGGATTTACAAGCTGCCCAGTACCCACCTGCTCAACTGGACCCTCCACATCAGCATGTTCGAGGTGGTCCTGGAGCAGTCCAACAGGTGCCTGCCCTGCGCCCCGCGGGTCTGCTTAAGCCTCTGCCAGAGGGTCCGGCCCAGCCCTGGGTGCTGGGGGGACATTTCCCAGAGGACAGAAGGGGAGCTTCCTGGGCAGCCCACCCTCAAAGGAGAAAGATGGTTGGCCCGAGGCCTCGTGTCACCGTGGGGAGAGGCCCAGCATCAGTCCTGGATTCAAGTCCCCATCCTACTGTCCTAGCTGTGGGACACGGGCAGGTCACTGAGCTCCTGAGCCTCAGTTTCCGCAGCCGTACATGGGCACAGTGACACCTTTGTACGGTAGACGCAGTGAGAAAAGGCATGTAAGGCACCCAGGTCAGAGCCAGGCGGGGTAGATGCCCCACTGATGGTCCCCCAGGAGGGCACTGGAAACACAAAGGCAGCTGTGCCGGCCCTCGGTTAATTGTTCTTTCGTGTCCACAGGGAGTCTGACTTGTTCTTTTTGGATCTTCAGACGCTCCGATCTGGGGACGAGGGCTGGCTGGTGTTGGACGTGACAGCAGCCAGTGACCGCTGGCTCTTGAACCGTAGCAAGGACCTGGGACTCCGCCTCTATGTGGAAACAGATGATGGTAAGACTCGGGCCAGCAGCGAACCGTCCCCTGGGGGCTCCTCCGAGGAAGCTGCTGGCAGCCGGCGCAGCTAGAGCCCCTCACGTGGCCCTGGAGGCCTGGCCTTTTCCACCTGTGCCGCTGGGGGATACCTCCACCCCTCCGCGGGGGCTCAGTGGGTAGAGAGTGAGGTTCCCGCAGTGTAGCTCCCAGACACCCTTGATCTGACGGGGTGGGATCAGCACTTCACCTCCATGGTCTTCGTCCCCCAAACCCAGAACCCCAGTCTCGCCATGAGAAAAACATCAGACAACCTGAAACTGAAGGACATTCTACAGAACACCTACCTGACCGGTACTTCTCAGAGCTGTCAAGGTCATCAAAAGACACGGGAGGTCTGAGAAATTGTGACAGCCCAGAGGTGCCTAAGGAGTTGTGATGACTGTATGCCAATGTGGGACCCTGGGTGGGATCCTGGAAAAAAGACACTGGAGAAAACTAATGAAATCTGAGTAGATCGTGATGCTTAGTAAATAATAAGATACCAGAATTGGTTGATTAGTTGTGACAAATGTGGTTCCAGCACAGTACGTGCTGGGGACACAGGTGTGGGAACCGCTGACGTGCAGGTGGATCTGGGGGCGGGGGGACGGGAGTAGCGCGCCGGGGAGGAAGGGTGACGATGGAGAGGGAGGAGACGGCGCCCAGGCTGCCCTGGAGGGACGTCGACTCGGGGCCTCCGTGCGCCAGTCCCCGGATCCCTCCAGTCCCTCCTGACTGCCTGGGCCGGTCCCGCCTCCCGCCTTCGCGGCCCGGGAAGCTCGGCCCCTCGGGCCCTCGGAGCGCGGAGACGGAGCGGGGCGGCGGGGAGCCAGCCGGGCGGCCGCGTCACCGCCGGGGGCTCCCTGCCCTGTGACGCGCGGGCGGGGCGCGCACGGCCGCCGCCTGTCCCCGCTGGGCCCGGGACCGGAGCCCTAGCCGGAGCGGAGCGGACGTTGGCAGCCCTGCGGCTCCTGGAGTCCGCGCTCGGGCGCCGGGTCCCCGCCGGCCGCTCGGTGCCAGCGCTGGCGACGGGCGGTGTGTGCGGCTTCGCCAGCAGCACCCGCGCGCGTGCCGAGTCCTACGCGGACCCCGTGGAGGCCGTGAGAAACATCCCGGACGGCGCGAGGACCATGGTCCGGGGCTTCGGCCTCTGCGCGATCCCGGAGAACCTGATAGGGGCGCTGCTCAAGACCCGCGTGAAGGACTTGGCCGTGGTCAGCAGCAATGTGCGGGGGAGAACTTCGGGCTCGGCCTTTTCCTGGGGACCAAGCAGATCACCCGCATCGTCTGCACGTGCTTGGGGGAGAACTCGCTCTGCGAGCACCGGTACCTGGCGGGCGAGCTGGAGCTGGAGATCACGCCCCAGGGCACCCTGGCCGGGCGCATCCGCGCGGGGGCCGCCGGCGTGCCCGCCTTCCACACCCCCACGGCCTACGGGACCCTGGCCCAGGAGGGAGGCGCACCCAGCCACATCGCCATCCTGAGGCAGCCCAGGGAGGTGAGGGAGTTCCACGGACAGCACTACCTTCTGGAGCACGACGTCACGGCTGATTTTGCTTTGGTGAAATGGTGGAAGGCCGACCGGGCAGGAAACGTCATCTTCAGGGCCAGCGCCAAGAACTTCAACGTGCCCATGGGCAAAGCTGCGAGAACCTCAGTGGTGGAGATTGAAGAAACTGTGGACCTGGGGTCGTTTGCCCCAGAGGACATCCATGTTCCTAACATTTACTTAGATCGAGGAATACAGAGGGGAAAATATGAGAAAAGAAATGAGCGTTTAGTGATCCGGAAAGAGGATGATGAAATATGCAAGTCTGCAGATAGTATAGGGACACGGATCATCAAGCAGGCAGCTCTTGAATTTGAGGACGGCCTGTGTGCCAGTTTGGGCATAGGAATCCCTCTTCTGGCCACCAGCTGCATCAGCCCCAGTATAACCGTTCATCTTCACAGTGAAAATGGAATCTTGGGCTTGGGTCCGTTTCCACTGAAAGAGGAGGTGGACACAGATCTCAACAATGCGGACAAGCAAACAGTCACCCTTCTTCCTGGGGGCTGTTTTTTCTCCAGCGATGAATCATTTGCTATGATTCGAGGGGGACACATCGACCTAACCTTGCTGGGAGCCATGCAGGTTTCCAAATATGGTGACCTGGCTAACTGGATGATACCTGGCAAGAAGGTGAAAGGAATGGGGGGGTGCGATGGATCTGGTGTCCAGTACCAAGACCAGAGTGATGGTCACCATGGAGCACCCTACCAAGGCCAGTGAACCCAAAATCTTGGAGAAATGCACCAGACTGTTGACTGGGAATTGGTGCGTGGACCGCTTTGACCGAGAAGGTGAAATCATCACCGAGAAGGCTGTGTTTGTCGTGAGAGGACTGACCCTGATCGAGCTCTGGGACGGCCTGATAGCAGAGGACATCGAAAAGAGCACGGGGAGCACCTTTGCCATCTCCCCAAATCTCAGACCCATGCAACATGTCTAAACCTAGCCGGAAAGTGAACCTTGGTCCCAGGGCGTGTGCTTCTCCCTTTAACCTCCTGGATTGCATCCTGAGAAAGACACAATCACAGTGCTACGTTTCACCAGCATCTAGCCGGCTTTCTCCTGCTGTCCCAGACTGGCTGCCACTGGATAGGCTTTGTTCTCTCAAGAGGGACATGCCTTTAATTAAAAACAAAAGGAAAACAGAGGCACTGACCTTATATGTCCTGTGAGTTCTGAGAAAGCTCTGCTCCAATCACCCTCCTCCCTGTCTGTGGTATTTACATTAAATTCTATGCAGCTTGAGATGATCCCATGGGAAAGGTTTCACTGAAGTGCCTACTTTCGTGAGTGAATAATGAAATATAGGGAAAAGTGATGGGGGAGGAACTGTTACCGAGCCCAAGCTCACTCTGCTCACTGCATGACAGGCCAGTAAACCAGGAGATGAGCTGTTGAGACAAGGAAGAATGACTTTAATTGGAAAGCTAGCAGATGGAGAAGATGGCAGACTAGAGTCTCAAAAAACCCATCTTGTCCTAGTCCCAGTTCAGGCTCCTTTTATATGATCTTGTGGGAAAAAGGGACAATGATCTTTCTGGCTACGTCCCACTGAACAGCGGTGATGAGGGGGTAATTGTGAAATGGAATTGATCAGTTTGGGGTCAGGAATATTCCTTAAAATTTTTAGTAAGCAATACAATTCTCTTTATCTACAACTATTTGAACCTGATGAAATCTCTTCTACAATGAAATTTTAATCTCAATACTTATCCTTTTTTTTTTTTATTTCTCCTTCACTTTTATTTTTTTTATTTTTTTTGAACATTTATTTTTTTATTTTTATTTTTATTTTTTTAACATCTTTATTGGGGTATAATTGCTTTACAATGGTGTGTTAGTTTCTGCTTTATAACAGAGTGAGTCAGTTATACATATATATATGTTCCCATATCTCTTCCCTCTTTGTCTCCCTCCCTCCCACCCTCCCTATCCCACCCCTCCAGACAGCCACAAAGAACCGAGCCGGTTTCCCTGTGCCATGCGGCTGCTTCCCACTGGCTATCTACCTTACGTTTGTTAGTATATATATGTCCATGTCTCTCTCTCGCCCTATCACACCTCACCCTTCCCCCTCCCCATATCCTCAAGTCTGTTCTCCAGCAGGTCTGTGCCTTTATTCCTGTTTTACCCCTAGGTTCTTCATAACATTATTTTTTTCTTAAATTCCATATATATGTGTTAGCATACGGTATTTGTCCTTCTCTTTCTGACTTACTTCACTCTGTATGACAGACTCTAGATCTATCCACCTCATTACAAATAGCTCAATTTCGTTTCTTTTTATGGCTGAGTAATATTCCATTGTATATATGTGCCACATCTTCTTTATCCACTCATCCGACGATGGGCACTTAGGTTGTTTCCATCTCCGGGCTATTGTAAATAGAGCTGCAATGAACATTTTGGTACATGACTCTTTCTGAACTCTGGTTGCCTCAGGGTATATACCTAGTAGTGGGATTGCTGGGTCATATGGTAGTTCTATTTGTAGTTTTTTAAGGAACCTCCATACTGTTCTCCATAGTGGCTGAACCAATTCACATTCCCACCAGCAGTGCAAGAGTGTTCCCTTTTCTCCACACCCTCTCCAGCATTTATTGTTTCTAGATTTTTTGATGATGGCCATTCTGACTGGTGTGAGATGATATCTCATTGTAGTTTTGATTTGCATTTCTCTAATGATTAATGATGTTGAGCATTCTTTCATGAAGAGCAACCTTAAGTCTTCTAAGGGTTCACAAACCCATTGCTCTCTAGGCCTCTCAGGAGTTGGATCATTTTCTGATGACAGTGGGGCTACTTTAACCCAAGTGTGATGAATCCATGTCTTTACTCCAGCTAACTTGACAGATGAGTGTGTGGTAAGTAATACCACATGTGGTCCTGTCCACCTTGTAGTCAGATGGTGCTCAGGCCCTTGTTCTCTCTAGATTTTAAGGAGGACTCCAGGCAGGAAAGGATGTAAGGCTACCTCAGTTGGATAGGCAGACCTACTGGAAGCAAACTCATGAACAGAGGTTAGTATAGTGCCCGGAGTTTTAACATAATTGGCAACTGCTAGATCTTTCAGAGCATTTATAGATTCTCCCTCCCTGGGAAGACACCGGGAATGGCCTACCATACAATATCTCAGTGGGGCTTAATTTGAGCTGCTTCTGGGAGCCCCTCTGATCCGTGGCTGGGCAACTGACAAGGCCTTATCCCAAGGTAAATTAGTCTCTTGACATATTTTAGCAATGCTCCTTTTTAATATATAATTCATTTTCTCAGTTTTTCCTGTTGATTGTGGTCTCCAGGATGAATGTAGCTTCCAATCAATTCACAGTGCTTTAGATACTTGTTAGGTTATGGTAGAGACAAAAGCAGGCCCGTTATCACTTTGAAGGGAGTTAGGCAGTCTAAATAGGGGGATAATTTCCTTAAG